TACACAGAGCCAAGTGAAAGGATCCATCACAATTTAACATGTGCAGCTGTGCACTGGTGGCTGACCCCTGCAGTCCAGGCTGGGAAGGCTGAGATCTGAGGATCACAGTTCCAAGTCAGCTTGGGCAGGAAAGTCCATGAGACTCTTATCTCCAATTACACAGAAAAAAAGCCTAAAGTGGAGCTGTAGTTCAAAATGGTAAAGTGCCAATCCTTAGCAAAATAGCTAAGGGCTGGTGCTCAGGCTCCGAGTTCAAGCCCTAGGATTGGCCGTGCGCACGCACGCACACGCGCACGCACGCACGCGCGCACACACACACACACACACACACACACACACACGAAAAAGAAATAAAAAGAAAAAAAAGAAAAAACAAAAAAACCTACCCAAGTTCTAATTATGTAAGTCTGACTCTCTACTTGAACCCTTGCCTTCAGAAACAATCACACAAAACATGTGTCCTTTAAAGCCTTGTGAAAAATAGATTTAGATGTATAAACTTCCACGTTAAACAGGGCTCTCATTTGTTGCTTCTACATAAAACTAAACTCAATTCCCATCTACTCATCTGATACTGATTGGAAGCCACCTATAATTTTTTTCATGCAAACTAACCTAACAAATCTGTCATCGTGTGACCATTTCCTAGTCTTTCAAACTTTAATGACTGGCAGAGGTATTTCTCCCGCAGCACAAGCACTGAGTCCCATGAGCGTGGAGGGGCTCAGGGAAGAGCAGCCATGCGGAAGCTACTGGACTGGGCAGAAGCACATGCCTGCTGCCACGCCCCTCCCGGGGTCCTTGGGCTTGTTACCTCTCCCCATCCACTGTGCACATCATTTTAGAAGGAGCAGCCAGTGCCAGCCTGACTTTTTCTCCCCCTCGGTTACTGCTACTGTCTCAAGCAAGCCTCTCTGTGCCTCCTTGGCAGCTGCCATCTCCCTGGACACCTCACGTTGTGTTTGCACTCACCCTCCCTCCCTTTGTCTCCCTTGTCATCTGGCAGCTGCAACCCATTTAACAGACAAAGTCAGCATTATTAATACTTATAATTCCATGATCTAGAGACCATGCTGTTTAATACAGTGGCCACTAGCTACATATAGCTACTTAAAATTCAGTTAAAAATTAAATAATAATGTTAATTTTCATTCTCATTAAGTTATATTGCAAGTACTCCAAAGCCAAAGTATCCAGAGTGTATGGTATTGGATAATGCTGATGTGAAACCTGTTCTACTGAGCAAGCTTCATCTTAATAACTGTAACAGTGGCTACAGGCCCGGGAGAGCTGGAAACATTTATAACAACAACGAACCCTAAATTTCCTAAAAGAAGAGTTATTACAGATGAATCAAAGCAATGAACAAACGCACCATATCTGGAAATAAATTTCCCCAAGTAAATAAATATTCTGGAACTATTTAAATTTCTGTTTAATAATTCTGGTTTTGTCCTAAGTATTGCATTTTCTGGTTGAATTAGAACATTTTGTGATTTGAAAAAAATCGTCTCTGGGGTTCCTGAGTTCTTTGTTTTAAAGAATATTCAAAGCTATCAACCTGTTGTTTCTCATATAGGCATTAAGTTTATAAGCGGAATGTGTCCGGCTGTTTTAAAACCCTCTGAATGGAAACCAGTTTCACATCTTCCAAAGGACATCTCTCTATTTGTCAAGAGGTTCAAACATAAGCCTTTCAGGCTTTTCCTTTCCCATGAAATTAGTCTGGAACCTTCCCCTCACAGAACACTCCAGTCTCATTTCTCCTTGTATTATCCAACTGCTATTTCTTGTTCATACATTCATGACAGCATGTTCTATTCTATTCTATGGTGTTAGAGATTCACAGAAGAATAAAGTTTGTCCCTTCTGGCAATGCAGTGAGAATATATATGTCATGGTAAACTTGGTGTGTATTTTAAGAGACTGAGGCAATAGGAATTGGTTAAGGTCAAAATGAGGAGGAGAATGTAAAATATGTGAAAACAATAATCCTTGACCACAAGGATTAAAATCAAAGATGCTCAAAGATCAATCACAGGGAGTTGTCAGTAGAGAATCAAACAGGCAGTTATGGATGGTCGTCTGTTCCTGCAGAAGTATTTTCTGTGTGAGATTGAGTTGGCTGAGGCTCGGGGTGTGTTTCAGGCAATCTTCTGTGACAGCTCTGGTGCTCAGGAATAGACATTCCTCCATAATCTCCTAACCTTACTTTTTGTTAGGGCTTGAAAATGACTCCACTTTGATTCCAGGACACTTTCACATTCTCGTGATGCCCTGAGTGCCTTAGGAGCAAGAATGTAACTGACTTATTTGAATCCTAGTGGCTAACACTGTGTCCAATGCAGAATATTCCCATTAAATGTTAAGTGGACCTAAGCAAACTTGACTCAAGCTCTTACAGTTAGGTGTTTTTTAAAGTATAACCAATGTAATTTTTGTTGATATCTGTATTTAATTATAACAGACACTTGAATTACTTTGACATGTTAGCAAGGGTTAATACTACTGACCACAACCCAGCTGGCTACTGTTTCCTTTACTATACGAGTTTCTCAATTCCTTGGGAGAAAATTAAAGTGATTTGCACTGAGCCAAAACAGAATATATAATAAGACTGCCAAGTAAACTTACTATTTAAGATATAGATAGATAGATAGATAGATAGATAGATAGATAGATAGATAGATAGATAGATAGATGATAGATAGAATGATGATCTTTGCTTTGGATGAGCCAACAGATAACAAAAAGTATTGCAAGTGTTTAAATATCTAACAATGACAACTTACTTTATAAGAACTTACTTTATAAGACTTTACCAAATAGACAAGTGCTCAAGTTTGAAGAGAAGCCCAACTGTCATACATTACCAAAAGACTATTGTTCCTTTGTCTAGGCTCCTGAAAGCCAAAGTCTAATGATCTTGAGCAAAATGCTGCTGGGAGCAGTCAAAATATAAGATATTCAATAACACTAAATATCAGTTGTAAATTAAAGAAAATTATTTTCCAACCAGGAAATGCATGGTCCTTCTTAGTGCCAAAATGATACCAACAAAGTCAACTCAACATTTTTCCCTTCAACTAGAACTGAAATTCTAACGGATCTTTCTTTTTATCTCTGAATCTCTCCTTTTTACAATTTATTGTAACTGATACATAAAGACACAAAATTGAATATATTCAGAAACCATGTAGTGTTTAAATTCAGATTAGCAGTACTTATTTGCTCAAATCCTTTTCATTTATTTATGGTGAAATGCTTTCTTCCAGCCTTGGAAGTGTTCCCCTTCTAATAAGAACCAAACACCATGTTTTGTAGCATTTAAAGTGAAAGAATAAATATTATCATTGAGTTGGCTGGGGGCCTCCAGGAGTAAAACACTTTTTTAACTCTTCTTTATACAGAGCTATAACTTAAGAGGTTAAATTTAAATTGAGATTTCCAGGTTCCAAATGCTTACATACATAATAAATTTGAATTGAGATTTCCAGGTTCCAAATGCTTACATATGTAAGTGGGCATGTATTTCAAAGTATTATTAGCCCAATTATTCAGTCAAAATCTGCTTGGTTTACCTATCATTACTCATCATTCTCTCCTTTTCTTCTCTTTCACCTGCAAATTGATCATTTTCTTTCTTACTAGTCTTGTATTAGGGACTAGGGAGGAAATAAAGAGCAAGACATTAAGGCTGACGATATTTTCAATATTTTATAAGATTTTTTAAAATAATATCTGAGAAAAAATAATAATGACTGAGGATACTGAAATTGCTAATTAAATTAAGGTCACATGCGTACAGATTTAAGTGATCTAAAATTATTTGGGTGTTTCTTATTTATTCAATTACGTTCAATTTACCATTTTTAATTAATAACATAATGATTTATCACCGTAGTATCTTTTATTTAGGCCTGCATGGTAAGGATTATTATTCACATTTCTCATGAACCAAAAGATGTATGGAGAGATGAAGCTGGATTTGCCAGGTATCGGTGAGGCTTCGAAACCATTCCATCCCAAGCTCAGCCTCCATTCCTCGAGCCTGTGGTACCAAGCATCAGAATGGAGGAAAGAAGGCCTGTGTAACACAGATGGCTGGGTCCACCCTGGAGTTTATGATTCAACATGTCCTAGATGGGGCCTGAGGATGTGGGATTCCACACAGGTGATGTGGAAGCTGCTACTCTACTGCCCACGGTCCAGGGGCCATACTTCAAGAGCTACTGCTGTAAATTACGGCCAGGCCTTTCAACTCATTTCATAACTCATGAGGCTGGGAACCAGCACAGAGCAGGGAGAGTCTCCTGATAGCCAGTGTCCCTCTCCAGCACCCTCATTCCACCCACAGCAGTGGTCACCATTACTTCCTGGAACACCTCACACATGCCACAAAAATGCTGCGTGACTCAGTTTCTGTTTTCCCTTGTGGTATTACGGAGAGGACAGATCCGTTAAATGAAATGCAGAAGTGATCTGTTTTTGTGAAGTCTATTTTAGCTAAAATGTTTGACACATTTTTCTCTGCTATGCCACTGAATTTATTAAGCATAGCAAAGAGAGCCAACAACAACAACAAAAATTGTCCCCAAGTCCCTCGATTACCTCCCCCGCCCCCAGATAATCTGAGCCATAATCATGGAGCGACTCTTTAAGGTGATGGGCCTGTCCCCCAACACGTATCATTGCCCTTGGTACCAGCCCATGTGTCCCCAGCTTTGTAAAAGAAATTGATTTGTTCTCACTCTTTAGAAATACATGATGGTCTTTATATTGTTCATTCCAAATGTCTTCAATCCCGCCTCCTTCCTTTGAAAAAAATCACCAAATTATGGCACTCCCCATTGCCCCACCCCAGATAATTAAGTGGAAAATCAAGATAATGTAAACCACCCCCACAATATCCTATAGATATGAGATCTGATTGGTAAAACGCTAATGGCTGAAAGCAATGGAGTACTGACAGTTGGTGAGTGGTCACGTCGGGGTCTTACCTATGCATACTAGATCCATAAAACCATACATTCCATAGCAGATCTGAAAGAGGATGTCCTTCCTCTGCCACACTGCATAGGGGCTGAAGGCTGACCAGAGGAGCCAAGTCACACTCGCTATTAAGAACAGGGATCCTAGGATTACAGCAATCATCTGAACTTTCTCAACCAGTGTTATAGAAATGCTTTGCCACTAAAAGAAAAACAGAGGCATGTAAGAAAAAAAGGTGCTGTGTATAATTTTAAAAGAAAAGAAAAACAGTTTCAATCCTATGGTTCTCTTCATAATTCCCAGACCCCCTATAATCTATTCAATATCCTCAAAATGAATTTTCCACTTTATTCAGACTACAAAAAATAAGACAAGCAGATAAAGATTAATGAATTGCCTTAACTTCATTATTTTTGGTAATTCACCATTCTGTAAGTTTAATCTACTTTTACTCTAGATAACAGTTCTAAGCGTGAATGGCTGAGGAATATTAGTCCCTAGGAATCACATTATTATCTTGCATACACACATGAAATTAAATACGCTCTGATAATAAACTGTGAGAAATTTTGCATCCCATATTTTTGTTCTTGACACATTTGTTTCCTTAAAAAAGGGGGAAATTCTCTATCATATTTTATAGTAAAATGTATTAAAATGTAGTAAGCTCTAAAAGAACATCAATAAAAAGTGTTTAAGATAACAGAATAATCATAAGGGAACTATAAAATTGTACTTGATCTACTACTAGCTCATCTCATATATTCAAATATTAAAATACATTTATTATCTAATAGGTAACCCATGAAGTATTTCTTGTCAAGATTTAAAGCACGTACAGAGATAGAGTATCTTAGAAACTAATAAACTATATTGACACACTATTCAATGGGGTGAAGAAATTGGTGTCCTAAATATTAATATCTGAGAGAATTTACAGTATAACTAATAGAGTTCCTTTGAGAGTGCACTGAATTTGGGAGGACTTAGTCATGTTCTCATGTTCATATGTTTAAGAGAGAAACAAAGTAAGATTGTCCTGTTGGCGTGCCACCAACCAGTGAAACAAAACCAAGAGCCTGGGCTACTGCAGCAGACTCTCAATAACCTTAGTAGAGATTATCCAAAGCAATCTGTTAAATGAACCTGAAATTTCCTTAAACCCTTACTTACCTTAATTCTGAATGTGTGTATTCCCCCAATGACAAGTCCACCGTGGCCTATACTTTCCACCCACTCAGTTTCTACCAGACTTCTCTCCAGACTCTCTCTCTCACTCTGTCTCTCTTCAGCTTTTACTTTCTCATTGACATACATATCTCTCATAAATAGGGAATTTATATTCATGATATCATAAATCTACATTTGACCTCGTATAGTCATGGATATTATTAAATTCTATATTTGTTTTATGTTTTTTTTAATTTTGTCAAGATGATATACAGAGGGTGTAGTTACAGCTACATACATAAGGTAGTGAAATTCCACCCCATCCCAGTAAGATTGACCATTACCAAAATAAATTCTTTATTTGTTACAGATTAAGTGTGAATATGTATTTGAAATGTTTCATCCTCTATAATCACTTTTATTTCTTTTAAGGCAGACCAAACAATAAAGAGCTGTTTGATGTAAAACACATTTCTATTCATTTTAATATGAAGACTCGTTTGGGAAGAATAGTTCTTGTTTATATCTGAATGAAAAACAATTAACTAGTTGATGTTATTTTATTATTAAAAATAATTCCATGTTGTATTTCCAGCATAGTTTTGAACTTGCTCTTTCCTTAACTTCCTGACACAATTTCCAACACATTAATTCCAAACTGTCAATTATTTGAACTTTAAGGCATTTAAATTTTGCTGTCACCAAGCCACTGGAATGTCTCTTCATCTTGTTTAGCTTTCATTTTTATTAAAATTTGTCCTAAATCCACTACCACAGGAAGTATGCATGTATGTATATACATACTAATAAATATATGCACCATCTTACCTTTCATCATTTTTATTAATCACATCAGATAGTTGAAAAGAACTATACCTTTCAGTCCATGATGTATCTTCTGTGTGTGTGTGTGTGTATGTGTGTGTGTGTGAGCATGCATGTATGCAAGTGTGAACGAATTTCATTTTCAAGTTGTGATCTGCAAGTTCAAATATATATGCTGAATCGTAAGTAATCGAAGGTAACTTGAGAGGAGGATTAATGAACTATGGTCTTCACTAACATGTGTTTTTCTTCTGCCAATAATTCTGGTGATTCTGTAGGCTTATTATGTAACTTTGGTGGAAGTAAACTTGAGCAATTTAGTATCGTATATCACTCTATTTGGTTTTAATTAAACTTGTTAACTAGTGGATCCAGCCCCGCCCACATGCTTGCCATGGGCACAGGTGGCTCAGTCCTACTGGGTGCTTGGGTGCGGGAGCACTGCAGCAGGGTTTGGACATAGCTTTCCACTTTTCCAGGACTCAGGAGGAAGGAAGGCTATGGAATGGTTAGCCGCCTTATTTCCTGAAAGAAAACTGCTACTATACGAGGTGATGGTGAATTAGTGAGGCCACGGTAAACAGGAACAGGAACTGTGGGTGCTTCATTTGGTGATGCTAAATTTAAAGTGGTTTAAGATTCAATTGCCTTGTCCTTGGGAATTAATATGTTCAAAAAAAAATGGAAAGCTAGGAAGAGAACAACTGTTGATTACAGAATAGCAGGGACCTTAATTATTTATTGCTGTCATAGATGTTATCTATATTGTGGATATAGACACAGTTTTAGATTTTTTTAAACTTATTTGAAAAGAAAGTATAAATTATACAAAAACTCTAGCAAAGTCTTGAAATTTTTTGTTATATGGAACTCTGCTAATAATGCAAAATATTTCACAAATAATCCAAAGGAGCAAATGTGTTTAAAAAATAAAAGAGGCTCTTCAAATACTGATGAACCTTAAAACAGCATTATTTCAATGAGGACAAACACATTATTGAAATTAAAATCATTAAATCTGATTCTCTATCTAGGGATTTCTCTTTAGGTAGTCGTATCATCTTGGTAGTTTATTTGCCCATGATATACAACTCTTTCCTATTTCTATTATGTACCAAAGGGGGACTAGGGGATGGTTCCTTTGTTCCTCTAGGCAAAATAGCTCTGCTTTCCATGGCAGGAATTTTAGCCAGTGTCCTTGCTCTCAGAGGGCAGGAATTGTCCACAGGGTCAGCCTCTGAAGGTTGGCTTAATGAATCACTAGCTAGAACAATTCAAGTCTTTTGAGGTATGCTACTGGATTTAGATTTGTAGGATACTTTGAAACTTTAGCAAAAATTTTCAGTAAGTAAACAAATTTTTCTTCTCTAAAAATATATACAAGATTGTGGGATCATTTTGTGTGTGTGTGTGTGTGTGTGTGTGTGTGTGTGTGTGTGTGTGTGTGTGTGTGTGTGTGTGTGTGTGTAGAGAAGGAAAGAGACTTGCTTAACTTTTAAATTTTTTTCAAAGTTTGGTAGGAAGGCAATAGTACAATACTTGGCTTTGCTCTCAATAGATTCTACTATTTTTTTCTTTACTATTTGAATATATGTGATTCTTATACTCCTATAAAGCTACTTGTATGCAACCAGCTATTTTATCTGCGGTTCCTGGTGAAAGTAGAGCTGATGAGCTCTTCTTCTGGAAAGGTCACCTTCATTTAATAATAATTTCCATTTACATAGTACCAATGCATGCCAGACATTCTTCTAGGACATTATACACATTACCTCATTTAATTCCCACAGCAACTCTCTGAAGGATTTATTCTCCCCACTTTGAAGAAAAACAAACTGAGGCAGAGAGGGTAAACAGTTTACTGACCCACGTTCCACATCTAGTCAGGGGCAGAGCTCAGATAAAAGCTCAGACAGTCTGGCTCCTAGGCTTATACTCTTATCACTTATACTAGAACCTATAATAATTCTACTGAGCTTTGATGACAATTAATTGCACACATCCTTGTTTTTGTGGAATTACAACTTTCTAAAGCTCCAAGTCTGTTTTTCTTTAAATAAGTTTTTTATTGTGAAAATACTGTACAGAGGGGTTACAATCACATGAGCAAGGTAATGAGTACATTTCTTATCAAGCATTGTTGCCTCCTCCTTTGTTTTTCCAAGTCTGTCTTCTCTGGTCAGCTGACATTTGCAGAGGCAAGTCATGCTCCTCAACCTATCGCAGTTCCACATTCCCAGCAAAAGGACAGCTGCCTCTCTAAGCTCCAGTAAGGAAGGCTAAGTACTTAGGTCAGCACAAAGCCTGTGTCTGGCACATAATTGTTACAGAAGGATAAAAGAGGAAGAAAGGGAATAAGAGAAGGGAGGGAGGGGACAGCAGTGAAGGGGAGGGGAGGAGAAAGGGAAGACAAGGGAAGAAAGAAGGAAGGAAGGAAGGAAGGAGGGAGGGAGGGAAGGAGGGAGAAACATCTCTCCATTTATCCTCATCTGACTTTTTATCGTCTCTTACCAGGGACTGACTCTCCTACCATTCATATTTGACTCTAATGCCCTCTCTCTCCTCTCTCTCTTCTCCATATATATATATATATATATATATATATATATAATTTTTTATTTTTTGTCAGTTATGGGGCTTGAACTCTGGCCTGGGTGCTGCCCCTGTGCTCTTCAGCTCAAGGCGAGCGCTCTACCGCTTGAGCCACAGCACCACTTCCGTAATGCCCTCTCTTCTAGAAATCCATCCCTTTATGTTCTTTCTCTCCTAAATGGAATCCCTCCCTTTCCTAGACCCCAAATCTACTGTCTATATACTGTCTATAATTAGTGCAAATTTCTTTCTTGCTCTAATCCCAGACAATCTGTGGTCTCCCATTATTCAAAGGCTGCAGATTTCCCTAGAACACAAGCTGAGCACCATCCCCTTACTTATCTGCTTCACAGCTGGACACACAGAACAAGGGCTGAAACCCCCTCCCCAAGGCTTCTGATACTAATTTCCATATCCTGTCTGACTGACCTATGAACATTCCATGTCCATTCTATCACTCGAGGAAGCCCCAGCCACAGTCAAACCACTAGTACATCTAGAATAAGAATATATACATTCCACAGCCTAATGTCTTTCTACCATGCCCTTCTCTGTCTACTTTGTCAGCACTCACTGTTTCCAAATCTGTATAGACGTAGACGGACCCAGCCTGA